TTTTTTTTTTTCCCCACAATCTCCAATTTAAACTTCCCCTGGCCCATCCACATGTTCTACTACTCACAAGCAACTTGAACAAAAGAAGAAACAAACCAAAACCCTAAATACATTTTATTAGAGCTCAGCCATAGAGGTAACAATAAAAATCAAAAAATGCACATCTAACACTAAATCCATGCTGTCACTTTTTCAAAAATGTAAGAAACCCATGAGTCCATGTGCTCAAATGTAATTAGATTCATCAGCATCAGAAGACAAAATTCCATGTCCTGCTAGATATCCACCTATAAGTATTAGGTTAAAAACCAAAACAAACAAAACAAAAATACTAACGTATTAGCAACTAGTTTGAAGGCTGTTAAAGAGGTAATTCTGCATTTCTCTCTACTACGAGAGTTACCAGAAAACTGTGATACTTAACTATGAGCTAGATTTAGAAAGCCTATTGTGGCAGATGCACCCACCCTACTAAAGACCTGAGAAAGACCCAAGAAAAACAGTGCTAAAGTTTCTGTCCCTGGCGGCACCAGGACTGCCTGCCCCCTCACAGCTCATGTCTGGTCCACACAGTGGGGGTCAAAGGCGGGAAAGTTGGGGTCCTCAGCCAATAGGGGCTGACACGACCATGTATTGACCACAGATCAGATTCGACCAGGGTATAAATGGGGCCCTGCCAGAGGACTCATTTGAGTCAGTCCTCCTCAGAGCAGCAGGTCTGCAGTCAGGGACTCTCCCCTTGAGTTGGGACGTCATTTAAGGAAACTTCTCGAGATCGAGAGCCCTCCCCTTTTAGGTAAGTGAGTGAGTGCACATTTTGTTTGGCCAAAACTTTAAGAATTCTTAACTCAGCTGTGTCTGGTAATATTCCCAACCAGCATATCAAACCTGTATTTGTTAAATGTCAGTGGGATGTTGTCTTGGTGAGTGATCTGCTTAATTTCAGTTGCAGATTGAAAGCTTACTTGAGTTCATTATTTGTGTGCGTGTAGCCATTTTGGTGTGATTCCATGACGCCTATGCAAAGCACAATTTTAAGAGTCCTTTCACCCTACATCTTTCTTATAAATAATTTCTTACTATGCAGAAAAAGAAAACACACTGATAGAAAAAGTCTTAGGAAAGTGATACTGTGGCAAAAGACAGTTAATTTGCTGTGGATGTGGACAGCGTCATTACCAATGCACATATGAGAATGTATACAGTTTTAAACTGTACTATAATACTATAGAGTAATTGTGTCTCTACATATAGAATTCCTATAGAATGTAATTTAATTATATAGAATTTCACAAATAGTGGTCTACAAACAACCCAGCACATGGCTGAAGAACTCTGATAAGGCAAGAACTTTCAACAATTTACTCAATTCTACCTTTGCAGAAATGTGACACCAGTTGTAGAACAAGCATTTCTTCTCCACGGCCAATGGATTCTGGGGACTACAGGATTTAGCCAACGAAAAGTTTTACCCATCCATAACAAGACAAAACTATAATGAAAGATCAGCAATATCCAGCTTTCTATGTGATCCTTCTAATGCATTAAAGATGTGATCTGCTGCAAGACTATCTCAAGTAAGCGATGATGTTAGCTATGCAATTTAATAACTAAAACAGTCTGAAGTTTCCAAACTCTCCTGTATTTTTAAACTCAAATCCTAGTCAAAGGTTATGCATCATGTTATATAATCTGCACTCTTCACTGAGAATGTTATGGTTATAGGCAAAGTAAATTAAAACAACAGCTTCTCTGGATCAATTGTGAGCCATGAAGCAAAAAAGACCATATGACAGATGCAATTTTTCTTGGCACAGTATGGGCATTACAAATTGATGACAATCGTATGTCCGTGCTGGCACCCCTCCACAGCGGATGTGTGAGAGTGTCACTACATCTGGATGGTGAGTGCACCAGGGTCCTGAGGCACTCCAGGCCTACCGAAACCAGAGGGACAGCAGCTGCACTCAATGAACACCGTGGGAGCTCCGCAAAGTGATGAAAGGCCTGAATTACCACAAACTGTAAATACAGATTTATTTCATTAAAATACTAGGTAACCACTGCAGTGATCCCTTCCTAAAATTGACTCATTTAAAGTATAAGCCAGTTATTTCAAGGATTCATTCAACATTTCTCCCCTGCAAAGCCAACATAAAAGGCAAAACCAATGGTATTTTATTTCACCAAGGCTGATAAAAAATAAAGCTCATTCCCACAGAAGTGCTAAAATGAAAGCCAAAAGCATGCGACACTGTCACCACTTTACCCAAGAAAGGTTCTTTTGTTGCACAGCTATCAGGTCTTAAAATTTTTAACATTATTTGAACACATGCGGAACTTTTGCTAAACATGGAGAAATAAGGTGTGAAGAGAACTGCTCCAAGAAGCAGATACACCACCACACACCCTCATTTCTCATGTACCTTTGAAAAAATACCTCTATAAAGCAATTTTATATGCAAAATTGCAACACTCTGGGTAAACACGAACAAGTAATTACTGCTAAGCCCTACAACAACCCTGCTGTTACACATCAAAATACGTGCTGCAAAACACTGCAAAAACTTATATGTGACTTTTCAATAAGCTTGGAAAAATAGTGGAAGAAGAAAAACAAAACCAAGAAAAACTAATTGCTAGAGTACTGATTCCAAAGGAAAGTCACCATATAATTGAAATAAACACATGGAAATCAGAGAATGAGTCTGGCTAACTACATCCAAATATCTTGTTTCAAAACCAAGCCTTGACTCGTTTTAAAATATTATGTTACCATAATTAGAAAATAGTTTCCCAATCAGTAAAGGAGGCATGATGTTAGCTTTCCAGTACTTTCAATATCTATAAGGTCTACGAAAAACTGAAGGAAAGGACTTGAGGCTAACACTGGCACCTAAGAATTAAATCCACCTTTTGGAGCAGCACTCCAGCAGAATAAACCCATGGGACTGGCAACATGCGCTCCAATAATCCTTCCATGTAATATTCAAAAGACTACAGAAACACTCTTGCTTGCAATAGCAAAAACTTCCAGGAGTTGTAGGTATAAATTGCTTAACAGATTGGAGTATGTGTCAACAGGGGACAGGCTCACAGCTGGGATTCTTTGGCCTGCAGAAGAGAAGGCTCAAGGGAATCTTATTGCTGTGTATAAACACTGATAGAGGGGAGTAAAGATGACAGTCAGGTTCTTCTCAGAGGCATCCAGTGAACAGACAAGGAGACAACAGCTGCAAACTGAAATACTGGAAAATCTTGTTTTAGTCCAAGAGTGACTGAACATTGGAACAGTTTGTCCAGAGAGGCTGTCAAATACCCATCTCTGGAGACCAGATATTAAAACCCCAACTGGACAAGATACTAAGCAACCTGCTCCAGGTGACTCTGGTTTGAGCAAGAGGGCTGGCTGAACTAGACAATCTCCAGAGATGTCTAACTTCAACCATTCTGTGATTCTGTGAAGATTCAGGTTACAATAAATAGTGACAGAAGTTTACATCCTCAGATCTCCTATGTTCACTGGCTGCTTTCTGAACAAATCAGACTGTAGAAAGTTTCAAAGCATGGTGTGAGAGAAGATACCACAGCCCTAATGCTGGGAAGCGGCAAAGGGAAATCAAGCAGTATATATCCTGTGGAAGCTTAGGTCCTGCTGCTAACGTTAAGATTACACTACTTATTAGGATTTCAAGGAACACAGCAGACAGGAGGTCTACTTTAGCAGAGGCACTGTGTGCAGCACACCTGTCCAAAAACAGGAGCTCTTGAGCATCTGCAAGACACCTCTCATCAAAACAGACCAAATGTCTTTAGCTATTCCAGAGTGCAGAGAAGGTTAGTAGAAGAGTAAAAAGGCAAGCTACACTGTGGATTTTTAATCAAAGAAGGGCATCTAACATTACAGGGTCATTAATTCTTTTCAGCATTGTTTCAAACATGCCAACCAGAATTGAATGTTACTGTCCGTATTTTTTTTAATATAAAAACACTGCTGTGTAGTAGTACACACTACTTCTATTAATGCAAGTCAGTTATCCCAGCAAACAAAGAAGTCCCACGTTCTTGGTGCAGAGGTTGCTACTTGATCTGCTCTTCCACTTCATTCCAGACTGAACCCAGAAAACACTTCTCCGTAATACAGGCTCTCATTTCCTGCCTAGGAGCCTCAACTACTCCCATTACACCCACTTTAACTATTCCCCAAGCAGAGGGGTCCATTTGCTTAGGAAATTAGGACTTTAAAAAAAAAACCCAATATTAAAGCTATTCTAGCCTAGTAAACAATCCACCTTAATGGAGGTTTCTCTAGAAGGCAATTCAAACCACTTAAGTTAGGCATGTCCTCTCAAGCATAAAGAAAAACTATACTCCCTGCACTGAAGTCAGCTGTTGTGATTACTCCTCACAGTAACATATTACCACAAAGTGGTTGCTTTCCCAGAGCTCTCCAACCTCTATCTTTAGAAAAGGCTGCTAACTGTTCCCTTGAACACAATACAAAAAGCTACATTAAAGTTTTATTTTACAAAAAGCTTCGCTGCTTGTTTTGTAGAAAAATAATATGATATCCAAAGGCAGAGCATATGAATCTAAAGGAGCTAAATTACCTGTCAAGAAAGTAAGATTTTGTTGCTACAATAAATTAAATTTTAAAGCCATTCTTTTTAACTGAACTTCAGCATGACACCAAATGAAACAAAACCAAACTGAAAAAAATAACAAAGAATTATTCTCCAACTGCTGGGGCTACTTTCAAAACCCAGATTTAAGAAGAGAGTAAGGGAATAAGAAATCTTTTGAACTAAAGTACGAAATTTCTAAATATTCAGCTACAGGTTAAGAAGACTAGAACATTCCTCCAGCAAGTATTTCTGAGAGAGAGATCAGCATAATAATGACTACTGAAATAAAACTTAAACCAAAACAAAGACTTGTAGGGGATTTTAATGAGATAAAAACAAAACACCTGTAATACTTTTTGTCAAGGAAGTACTTACCTGACATTTTTCCCTTGTTCTCTCAACATTTTCACCAGATCAGCTATAGGGTACTGAGCTTTTGCTGCACACAAACCATAACCTGGAAGAAATTCCAAATTTTAAGGTGCTATTCTCCTTCAGTGCAGACAGAATAGTTACAGATAATAAATGCACCTTCCACACAAATAGAAGATCTCATAATTAATAATAAACAAACAAACAAAATTTCTATATATATCCATACACACACACATCCCAGATATTCATATATTCCCAGCCTGATCACTGTAACTCATTTCTTCTTTTTGGTCTCCTGCCCACTAACAGCATAGTGGTTTGACCAGTCAAACTACAAAAGTAACTTGTTTCAGATTCACAAATATATCTGTTCCTTTCTGTGTCAAAAAAGGACGTTTCAGACAGACACACTCAAAAATTTATTAAAAGGCTACTATCACATTACTTCACCACTATTATCCTCAACAGAATTTGAGATTTGCATAATGCAAATCCAGTAGCTGAATATGGCTTTTAGCAGCCAACAGTCTTTCTATCTGAGCAACAATGCCCAGGAAGAAAATGAAGAGTATAAATTATTAATGGTATCCTCAGAGTTGGACCACAGCAGCAAGAGGCAAGCTCCTTGAAGATGTTTGCAAGCCTGGTTGGAAACAAAGGTAAACTTCCCAAATGAGAACCTCACCTCACTGATATTCTCATTTAAGCTGAAACATAAATGAAAGACAACTTTTGGGTTTTAGCATTCTTCTCATTCCAACACTAAAATAAATTTAACACAATAGCTGTGCCATTCAGCTGAAGGAAAACAAGTCTTGAGCTATTCAGTACCTGACTTCTCTTTACAGGAAATGTGCTACTGAACCATATGAGCCTACAGCCAATATAATAGTTTCTGACAACACAATGTTTTGGTTTTCAAGGTATTTTCTACTTTAATTCTAGTATTTATTGTGTACTAAGTTTTAGACCTCCTTCTGCTGTTTAATGAAACAATGCAGAATTGAGCAAACAGATGAGAAGAAGACATAAACAAGAAGAAGACATAAACAAAATCCTCTCTTTGAGTAAACGGACAGGTATTTAGTTATTGGTACCACTGGTACTATGGTAGTGCTTGGAAGCTCACACCACAATAGCTGTACACAAAATTAACTGTAAACATAATTTACAGAAGAATTTAAAATCTAAATAAATAGGACAAAGTTTGAAGAGACACACACACAAGGAAAAATAAAGTGGCACACGTGTGTCTACACAGAGGAATGATGACCAACCTGGAAACAAAAATAGATCCCACAGACCCAGTCAATATCTGACACGCTGCTGCTACTTTACAACTGCAAGATGGGCTCCAGTGTTTTGTTTTGTTTGTTTGATTGGGTTTTTTTAATAACACATTCTCTAAACATCTTGCCACATGAGTCCAGAGTGTCTTACCTGGAGTAATAATAATATTGCTGGCTTCCTTTATCATTTCAATTGCATTGTCCACATTGATTTCTGTGTGGGTTCCGGTTATTTCCATGGGCTTCCCACCAGCTGTTGATGTAGTGCCATAGCCCCCTAGAATCACATTTGCAAGGGAACGATTCATAGCCTGAAAGACAAGATGGCTTTGATCAGCTGAAGATGAAATCCAAAAACCAAGGAGAGGAAAGGTCTATAAAGAAAACTTCTGAAAACATTAAAGCCTTCCTGACAACACTCTTTATCTGCTGGTTTTGCCTACTAACAACTCAAAACTTCTTAAAACAGGCTACTAAAAACAAAGACCCAGATTAACACAATAGCCAAACATCAGCTTCTAACACATTACATAACACATATAGTGAGAAAGCACCAGCATTTCTCCAAGACAAAGAAGAAAACAACACAAATACCAACTATTGGTCTCTTTTTGTTCTTAAAAGGGAAGCATATAAAAGAATGCCTATCTGATTACAGATTTATTTTTTTTTAAACACACATATAAACATACACACACACACACACACACACACACACACACAATTTTTGGAAGATATTTTCTTAGGTTCTTGAGCAATTCAACTTGTAAGCCCAGAATTGCTACGTAATAGCATGGAAACCACATAGCTCTGTACACACAGTATAGAAGCAAAGCTCCTACAGCACTAAGACAGGAAAGAACACAACAAAGTTAAACAGCCACACAAAACTAACCAAATGCTAACTCAAAACAAATTGTAATGAACAGAAGGGGGCTATTAACTTACTGGTTGAGGACCAAAGGGGAACAAGAGATCTTAAACTAGGAGCTTTAAGAGGATAACACATCCTGAAAATTTGGCTCTGTAGATACACAGTCAGGAAAAGCCACTGGCTAAATGCTTGCACTGGCATGTCTCCTTGTGAGTGTGGTCCCAAAGCAGTATCTGGCAATATCTGGAAGTCAGCAAAACTTGTAACTGCAGTAAACAAAATTTTAGAAGCAGGAAAGGAACAGCAAAAATTGCTTCTTTAATTAAACATGTGTGTCATGCATCTGCTGCGCTGGCTCAGAAACCACAGCAAAATTTGAGAATGGATCTGGAGAGCCACACATACAAGCAAGAGGAAACATCTATACAGAATTAAGTGTCCATTTTTCACTGACATTTCAAATCATGCAGCTCCACAGGTTTTTTGCTATAGCCTGAGAAGAGATGCCATTCTGTGAAATTCATCATCTAGCAAACACGCACAACAAAGATGTTAGAAGAACGTCTGTTTATCCTGATAAATCATCGCTGTTTCAGATACTGTCAGGAAAGCATACAAACACAGTGAAATCGCCATCTTGCTACTGCCTGCAGTAGGCAGTAGTTCACATCCCCTAAAAACACAATGCCTTTGACATGTATCACAATACTAAACCTTCAAACAGGAAAAGAGAATACTTAATATATGTACTACAGCAGTTAAGTGTCAGGTCAGACAGCCTAGACAGAATACCCTCTTCAGATGTTGCACAGGCTAAGATTACAAGAAGCAAAGCACTTTCTATGCATACCTAAACCAAAAGACAACACTAAGACCAAGCAAAGGAAAAAAAGAAAACTTGAAATATTATTACAAATCTGAGAATCTACACCAAGCAAGCATGAGATTCAAGGACCCTTGCTTGGCTCCACACCAGAGAGCTAAGGAAAGAGCAGAGAAGTCTAGCAAAAAAGGGGGTGGTAGAGAAGACTTCAAAAGGAGCCAAGATCTCATCAAGTAAGAATTAACCAATGCAGTTAAGATCTACTCAGCACAGAGACAATGTGGAAACTCTTCTATAGCCTCTTTCATCTTCTTTACCACCACAGACCACCAACATATATGAATAAAGTACAGGCTTCACCATTCGCAGCTAATTCACCTACCAGAAAAAGCCCTTTCTGCTGTGCATACAGAGGTGATCACAGAATCACAGAATGTTCGGAGTTGGAAAGGACCTCGAAAGATCATCCAGTCCAACCCCCCTGCGAGAACAGGATCACGTAGACTGGGTTGCACAGGAATGTGTCCAGGCGGGTTTTGAATGTCTCTGGAGAAGGAGACACCACAACCTCTCTGGGCAGCCTGGGCCATGCTCTGGCATGCTCACAGTAAATAAGTTTTTCCTCATGTTCAGTTTGAACCTCCTATGCTCCGGCTTGCTCCCATTTCCCCTTGTCCTGCCATTGGACATCACAGAGCAGAGCCTGGCTCCTTCCTCCTGACACCTGCCCTTTCCAAATTGATACCCATGAATGAGGGCACCCTTCAGTCTCCTCTGCTCCAAGCTAAAGAGACCCAGCTCCCTCAGCCGCTCCTCAGCAGGAGATACTCCACTCCACTCCTTCCATCATCTCTGTGGCTCTGCACTGGACTCTTTCAAGTAATTCCTCGTCCTTCTTGGACTGAGGGGTCCAGAACTGA